TGCACCTCAAATGGTTCACACAACACCACCAACAATTGGATAACTTGAGAGAAGATTATCTACACTCAAAATCGGCTAGCGCTCATGTGTCTATCACTAGTCACTCCTTAATGCCAATTTCATGAACTATGAGGCTTCTTATATAGTGTGCACATCAGGGTTACACCATGTAACTCATTACTTTCCATATTCCTCATGATCCATGGGTTTTAACCTACATGGAGTATCCATGGGTCACCACATGGGTTTAGCCCAACATGAAGAACTATGGATCATAAGCCCACTTTATAAGAATGAATGATTTACCAAATCAATCTCCATTTATTTAATTACTCTCTTTTGATCGCAAAATTAATTCTAAACTAATTCTTGATCAATACTAATTAAATAATATTAATATATTAGAACTTATAATATATTAATAAATCATAAATATCCTCTTCTCACAAAAGTCTATCCAAATTGTTCTGATGCCATGCAACCCAAATGGACCATGCTACTCTCGGGTCAAGTACATACCAACAATAGTTATGAGCTTAGACACCTAATCCAACACCATAAGTGAATGCGAACGAAATTGCATGGAACCAAATCACAACGAACATTCAATGAAAACGACCGGATGTGATCAGTCTCAACCAGTCGCAACAGATCGCAACTATTAGTAGTTTAATTTGGATCGGATTCGCAACTAGTAGACAAAGTCGGATCGCCCTCCATGCACGGATCGGGACTGAAGTAACTTTTGCATCCACCTTCGAAATTCGCATCAAAATCAACAATCTTTTTCTCCAAGTCCAAATCAATTTAACACCAATTTCAACATCAAAAAAAGAATTATAAGATTTAATCTGATTAGGATCATTCTTCAAAACTGTTGGACTTAACAATTCTTCAACATCTTTTGGCATCGAACGAACATCAGGTTGAGCATTCATCACAAGCAATGGTTAAGAATTAACTTTCATAGGCTTTGTTTCGTTCTTTGTTTCATCACCTTCAAAGTAGTCCTCGGTCTTCATTGAAACTCTGATCACATATGCAACTGAACCTTCTGCCTTCGCAGTCTCCTTCACCTTGTTATCCACCATATCTTCTTGTTCAAAAACTTGTTCCACTTCCCTATTTTTGGTTTCTTGGATTGTTTGCTAAGCATCGATCTCACTTCAGTGGAAGACATAGGAGATAACACAATCTTCTTACCTTTATGTTTCAACTCGTATTCATCGCTTCGTTCTCTATGTATCACATCATTATCGAATTAACATGGACATCACAAAAGAATATAACAAGCCCATTGGAATCACATCACACAAGACTTCGTCTTCATACGATTCCCTCGCTATATGCTTAGGATGATCAACAATAGCTAAACCCAACTTCGAAACCATCTCAGTAGAAGAAACGTTCGCACAACTCCCGCCATCGATAATTAAGCTACACAACTTGTCCTTCACGCGACACTTCGTATGGAATAGTTGGTTTCTTTGATCGCTATCAACTTGCGCCACCTATGTTTGCAATGATCTAAGAACAAAATCGTATCACACTTTGGTGTTACGTATTTTTCCTCTTCTTCTTCTTCACCTTCACATGCTTCTTCAGTTACAAAAGTATTATTAACTCTTTCTTATTCCACAAGTAACTAATCTCGAATTTCAACAGCATCTGTCAACGTTACCACCCTTCTGTTTGGACAAACATTCTAACAATGAAAACCTTGACATTTGAAACATCGAACTTTTGACAAGCTGACCTCCTTCATCTCTTTGGCTGGAACAATAGTTTTAGCAACCGATGCAAAACCTTTCGCACCCATAACCGAAGATCCATTCACATCCACGGAAGTAGAGGCGCCAATCTTGGTGTTCGCAACCTCCATGCTAGAATTCACTCCATAACCCCTTTTTGTCTGGGTTTCAAACATCAAACAAAGGCTACAAAGTGTATCAAAATCAGAAAAATGATAAAGTTCCACCGTACCAGAGATATTATAATTCAACCATCGAAGAAAACGAGCTATCTTTTGTTCTTCCACCTCCTCAACGTTTCCCAATAGTGTTAACTTCTCAAACTCATTAATAGATTCCCCCACACTCAACTTCCCTTACTTCAGATTTTCCATCTTCCTATAGGTGGTCGTCCTATTGTGAACTGTTACATAACGCTTCCAAAGTTTTCGCTTCAAAGACACCCAAGAAGTAATATTTTCTTTCTTTCCACGAACCCTCTTAGTCTTAAAACGTTCATACCAAAGAGAGACTCCTTCACTCAACTTCAAGATTGCGTATTTATAGCACTTCTCATCGTCTAATTCTTTGTACTCAAAAGTTTGGTAGATCTTTCTCTCCCACTCCAAATAATCTTCTGGATCGGCTCCACCAATGAACTCGAGCAATTCGTTTATCTTGCAATCTTCAATAATCCTTAACGGTCCATGCTTAGGTTGTCGCCTTTCTTCTTCTTGCAACCCACGCATGGCCTCTCGCAAAGCATTCAGAAAATTTGGATCTTCAAGATTCATTGCACCTGATGCGATTTCAACAACACCAACAACATGATCTGGGCGAAAAAAAATCAAAACGAAAATCACTGCAACAAATCGAACTCCACCAAAAACAACAAATGAACTTCAACAAACTCAATAAGAATTTCGGCTCTAACAAAAAACTATTTTTTTTAAACAGTAACAGCAACAACAAATTTTGGCAAGAACTCAACAACACCCAATCGGAACTGGGCTTTGATGTCACTTATGACACGTATACAGGTGGGGTGATTTCTAAGTATTTAGATTGCAGCGGAAAAATAAAGAACAAGATAAGAAAATAAGAACAAGAATAACTTGCTCGACAAGAAACAAGAAAAAGATAATTTCGATAAACAATCTAGACCTATAGATTAAATATCGATGAAAACAAATCAAGACCTATTAATTTGAATTCGAATCAACCTAGAATACGCGTCCTAGAATTGACAAAGGGACGAGTACGCAACTCAAAAGAACAAAGTTCTCAAAGGTAAATTCATTCAACAATGCTTCAAAATGTTTGACATAAATGGCTATTTATAGCCTAACAACGATTCCAAAAATAAAAGGAATCTAATAGATAAAAGGAACATATTAATAAAAAAGGAAACTATTAAATAAAGGCTAAAAATAAATCAAAATGTCTCTAGAATCTTCCAGCTTTAGCTGACATCAATAGCCATGCAAGGTCCTCCCAAAAGGCCCTTAGAATTCTGAGATTCGCAACCAAGGTTCCGAGATTCGCATCTAGTCATATTCCGAAATGGTTCTCGTTCGCACCCAAAGACTTCCGACTGCGATGTATTGCGATCGATCACATCCAGTCGCAACGACCCTTTTCTCAACCTATTCCACTTTCGCATCCAATACTATTTTCGCATCCATGAGCCTTTTTGCATCCATCAGCCAAATCTCCTTTCACATTCACATCACATTTAGTCAAGATTTTGAACATTATTTTCATTTAAGAACTTTATAACAAATACCAACCTTTCTTTTTTCTCCTCAAGATCTTGACCATATTCAAGATCTTCGCCATGTTTTCAACATCGTTGATAGTCTACACTTTGTATTCTTAAAATTATCATACAAAACATCATACCACATTTACTAATTTAGTTACAAAGTTAAATAATCAATATTTGATCATCCTATATATATAGTATATATATATATATATATATATATATATATATATATATATATACTTGTAACATAAATTTGTATACTTGTAATATATATATATATATATATATATATATATATATATATATATATATATAATATATATATACTTGTAACATAAATTTGTATGAGAAATGGATTATTATATATATACATATATATATATATATATATATATATATATATATATATATACATACTTGTAACATAAATTTGTATGAGAAATGGATTATATGGACGATGATGAGTTTAAAATGATGCTAACGTCATTATTTTGTGGCAAATAATTGATTATAGAGGTTTTTAATCCTTAGTTTTATAGAGCTTAATGACATGTACTCCTATTCATAATTTCAACCAGTAAATTTTCAAATTTTTAATGAAAATGTAAAATAGTTGAAATAAGGAAATATGACTTTTTCATAAATTGAGCAAAATATTGAGACTTTTCTGGAGGTAACCGGATAAAAAATAGTTTACCGATAAAAAAATGTTTAATTTGAATTTTTTTATCCGATTATCAGAATTTTTTTTGTTAACAAAATAAAATTCGGGACTTTTATCTAACCAAAATATTGAAACTTTTGAGATTAATGTGTTGTAAAAAATATTGTGAAAAAATTGTAAAAAAGGTTTAAAAAACATGATTTTTTTTAAAAGTTAGAAGAAAAGCTTAATATGATTGTAAAAAAGGTTAAAAGAAATTGTAAAAAAAGTTATAAAAAGTAGTAGAAAATATAAAAAAGTTGTAAAAGTATAATTTGTCTTGAAATAAAATTTATAAAAAGAAAATATGTGTCAAAAGTTTTAAAAAGTTGTAAATAAATTTAAAAAAATTGGAATAGTATTAAAAGACAAAACCCAAACTAAATTTATAATAAAATTTAAAACATAGGACAAAAGCTCCCGTTAAGGGTTATTGACATAGAAGCACAATGATGTTTTTTCCGTTTGGTTTTAAAAGGTCCTTCAACTAATTTTCGTACCTCTTACCTCACTAAAGTGACAAATTACTTGTCGTTTAAACCATTAAAGTCGGTTACCTGGTAATTAAATGTGACATGGCCTTTAGATTTTAGATTTCTTCAATTGAATGACATCTCATCAATGACATGTCAACGCCTTCGTATAACTATTGAAAAAATGGCTTTACTCTAGTCGGTTATCAAAATCGTGTTGAAGTGTTGAAGATTCTAGGGCTTTTCTCTTCCATTTCTGTAAGTTTTCTCTCGTCTAGGGTTCGTTTGTAGTTAAAGTTCATCTGGTTCTTTTCTAGTTAAAGTTCATGGCGAACCCATACCCTATTTTCTTGAATGTGCATTTACACTATAACGGTGTTTTTACAAGACACCCACATAGATATACTGGTGGTGAAACGTTCATGTTTACTGATCATGATTTCTATGGAATGGATTTACATGGGTGTTGTGAATTTCTAGAAAGGTTTGTTGGAGAACCTTTTGAGAAACTTTATTACTCATCACGTGATCTCACTATGGCAAATGGTCTTAGGGTAATAACTAATGAAATGGATTATCAAGTGTTTATCGTTGTTTCTTATCAATCACCTGAAAGGTCAATAGACCTGTATTTAGATCATATTGGGGAAGGATTTGAGGACTGGTTCGATGAAGAAAGTGATGAAAGTGGCTAAGTGTAACGCCCGTGTTTCTAGGCTAGGCATTAATATTGACGTAATAGTCTAGATCAACCTTTGTAACTCATTTTGAAGAAATAAAGAGGAAATATGTGATTGTTATGTGAATTATGTGTTTTATGTTTAATTAATAGGATTTAATTAATTAAGAATAAAAATAAGCGTCGAAAATAAATATTAGATAAAGTCGATATCTATTAAGAAAGTTGTAGTGGTCGTGGCAAGGATTCCGGATATATAAAGAATACCGAAATCCGAGTTATAACGAAGAAGTTATGACCTGTCGAAGTTTCGCGATAGAACCGGCAAACGATGGTTGTCCATGCTGCCACTACTAAGATACTTTTTAGCCTTGCTGATCTAAATAAAATTTGTAGTGTTCGTTAAACCGAGTGTATGCGTAAAAAGAACCCACAAACGATGGTTGTCCATGCTGCCACTACTCCTGCTGCCCCTGTACCCGCCAAAACATATGCAGGGAGTCTACCCAAGTGCACCAAGTGCTCTTTCCATCACAACGGCCCCTGCCGGGAAATGCACTGCACTAACTGTGACCGGAAGGGCCATACCGCCCGGTTTTGCCGAACACCACCCAAACCCATTTCCCAAGTCCCCAGCACAGGAGTGAGCCAGACCTGCTACGGCTGTGGCGAGATAGGGCATTTCAAAAGAAATTGCTCGAAAGCTGGGAATGCAGGAGGAACAGGCAGACTACTTGCTATTGGCCACAATGAAGCAGTAGCAGACCCCACAGTAGTCACGGGTACGTTCCTTCTTGATAACTCTTATGCTTGTATCCTATTTGATAGTGGGGCAGAGAGGAGCTTTTGTAAACCAAAACTTTAAACACTTACTTAAACAATCACCGAAACCACTAAAAGAAACCTTCGTCGTAGAAATGGCTAACGGAAAGACAGAGAGTTCTAACGAGATCTACATAGATTGTACCCTCACGCTAGATAACCATTCGTTTCCAATCGACCTCATACCAGTAGCAATCAAGAGCTTTGATGTCATTGTGGGCATGGACTGGTTGAGTCTCCATCGTACCGATATTCTGTGTTTCGACAAAGCAATCCGTCTGAACCTACCAAATAACGAAACCTTGTTGATCTACGGAGACAAACCCAGTACGAGCCTTCGTATCATCTCAGGTATCCAAGCCCAGAAATATTTGCGTAAGGAATATCGCGCGTTCCTTGCACACATCGTCGACGCGAGCCAAAAAACAAAAGACCTGAAAGACTTCCCCGTGGTACGTGACTTCCCCGACGTCTTTCCAGAAGAGCTACCGGGATTACCTCCCCAACGTCAAGTCGAGTTCCGAATCGACTTAATCCCAGGAGCTACCCCCGTAGCCAAATCGGCCTATCGTCTAGCGCCTGCTGAGAGTCAAGAACTGTCCGGTCAACTTAACAAACTGCTCAGCAAGGGCTTCATAAGACCAAGCTTCTCACCCTGGGGAGCACCGGTCTTGTTCGTGAAGAAGAAAGACAGATCGTTCCGTATGTGCATCGATTACAGAGAACTCAACAAACTGACGGTCAAAAATCGTTACCCTCTTCCTCGTATAGACGATTTATTCGACCAACTGCAAGGGGCTAGTTACTTTTCCAAGATCGATCTAAGATCCCGGGTATCACCAGTTACGAGTGCTTGAGGAGGATGTCCCGAAGACAGCTTTCCGAACTCGTTACGGACACTATGAGTTCGTGGTGATGCCATTCGGACTGACCAATGTGCCCGCAGTATTCATGGACTTAATGAATAGAGTATGCCGTCCTTACTTGGATCAGTTTGTCATCGTCTTCATTGACGACATACTTATCTACTCTCGAAGTAAGGAAGAGCATAGCAATCAGCTATGACAAGTCCTGGAAACCTTACGATTGGAGAAGCTATACGCGAAGTTCTCTAAGTGCGAATTTTGGATCCGAAGAGTCGAATTCTTAGGACATTGGTGAAGCGGTGAGCGAAGAAGGTATCCACGTGGACCCTTCCAAAATTAAAGCCATTGAGAACTGGGCAGCACCAAGACACGCCTAAGAAATTCGTCAATTTTCTAGGCCTCGCTGGTGGCTACTACCGCAGGTTCATTCAAAACTTCTCCCGAATCGCGAAACCCCTTACTACATTGACCCAGAAAGGCGTGGCCTTTGACTGGGAAGAGAAACAAGAGAAGGAATTCCAAACCCTGAAGCGAGCCTTATGCACCGCACCGATACTGTCCCTCCCCGAAGGGATAGAAGACTTCGTGGTATACTCTGATGCATCCAACCAAGGGCTCGGCTGTGTTATGATGCAACGAGGTAAGGTCATCGCCTACGCCTCAAGAAAGCTGAAGGCACATGAGGTCAACTACACCACGCACGACCTCGAATTAGGAGCGGTTGTGTTCGCCCTAAAAATCTGGAGACACTACCTGTATGGTACGAAGAGCACCATCTATACCGACCACAAAAGCCTCCAACACATCTTCAACCAGAAAGAGCTCAACATGAGGCAACGACGGTGGGTCGAGCTACTCAATGACTACGAATGCGAAATTCGTTATCATCCGGGTAAAGCCAACGTAGTAGCAGACGCCCTAAGTCGGAAAGAATATTCTGGCCGAAGAGTCAAGTCACTAACAATGACTATCCATTCGCATCTATCCGCACAAATTAAGGAGGCTCAGCTCGAAGCTTTGAAACCTGAAAATATAGCGGGAGAATCCCTGCGAGGAATGGATAAGAACTTGGAAACAAGGGTGACGAGCTGCCTTATATCTCATGACGGATCTGGACACCGAAGCGGTGGCTTCAGAGACTTGGTCATGAAGGAAGCGCACAACACTCGATATTCCGTCCACCCAGGTTCAGATAAGATGTATCTGGATCTCAAAAAGTCATACTGGTGGCCTAACATGAAAGCAGAGATTGCTACCTTCGTGAGTAAATGCCTTACCTGCGCCAAGGTCGAGGTCGAATACCAGAAATCATCAGGTCTACTCCAGCAACCGGAGGTACCTGAATGGAAGTGGGAGCGGATCACTATGGACTTCATAACCAAACTACCCAAGACAACGGGTGGACTTGATACCATATGGGTCATCGTCGACAGTTGACCAAGTCCGCCACACTTCCTACCCATCAAAGAAACCGACAAGATGGAAGAAACTCACAAGAACATACATTAGGGAGATCGTAGGACTGCATGGTGTCCCTATATCTATTATCTCCGATAGGGATAGGATTTCACTTCGAGGTTCTGGCAGGTCATTGGCAGTCATTACAAAGCTCCCTAGGAACGAGGCTGGACATGAGTACAGCCTACCATCCACAGACCGACAGACAAAGTGAGAGAACCATCCAGACTCTGGAAGATATGCTGCGAGCCTGTGTGATCGACTTTGGTAAGGCATGGGATACCCACTTACCTCTCGTCGAATTCTCTTACAACAACAGTTATCATACGAGCATCAAGGCTGCCCCATTTGAAGCCCTCTACGGCCGGAATGCAGATCCCCTATGTGCTGGGCTGAGGTGGGTGACACTCAATTAGCTAAAGGACGAGTTCCTAACAGCACTCTCACGGGTCCGGAGATCATTCGGGAAACGACAAAGAAGATCGTTTAGATTCGTGAACGATTGAAAGCCTCTAGAGACCGACAGAAAAGCTACGCAGACAAACGAAGGAAACATTTGGAATTCCAGGTGGGAGACCGAGTCCTTTCGAATGTCTCACCCTGGAAAGGCTTGATACGCTTCGGAAAGCGTGGAAAGCTAAATCCAAGATACGTAGGGCTTTTTGAGATTCTCGCTAGAATCGGCCCCGTAGCTTACAAACTCAATCTACCCCGCGAGCTTAGTAACGTACACCCTACCTTCCACGTCTCAAACTTGAAAAAGTGCCTATCCGACGAGACTCTTGTAATCCCACTCGACGAGATCGAGATCAACGAGAGCCTCAACTTCGTGGAAGAACCTGTAGAGATCATGGACCGCGAGGTCAAACGAACGAAACAAGCCGCATCCCAATCGTGAAGGTTCGCTGGAACGCCAAGCGAGGACCGGAATTCACATGGGAGCGCGCAGGATCAAATGAGACTTAAATATCCTCATCTTTTACTTAGTTATTTTGTAATAACTTAGTTGCCTGAACTCTAATTTCGGGACGAAATCCCTCTAACGGGGGGATGATGTGACAACCCGAAAATTTCATTTGTATAATCTCTACAGTTAAAACACTTCATATAATATTCAAAAACATTTCAGTACATTTTTGGCCGGATTTAAGTCCGTTTGGGTGTTTTATTTTATTTTTTTTCGTCAAACAGTTAAATAAAAGGAAGTGTCGTTATTAGTGATGTGTAGCAAACAAAACACCATCAACACCTTAGCTAGGGTTTACGGCCAAAGAGGTGTTGGCCGTGTACTTGTACCGTAAAACCCTTTTCCCAAGAACTCATGCATATAGCATGAGTTTACACACCTTTTCCTCATTTTCCACTTCCCACCTCAAGAATACCAAGCTTTTTCTCTCAAGAATCATAAGTTCATTTCTTCAAATCCGCCAAAATGTAAGTGTTTCCTTCCTAGATTCGTTCATACAACACTTAATCTAGTGTTTATACATCATTTCATCCATGGATTCTTGGTTTTTACTTAGATCTTCAAAGTGTTCTTCAAAACACCAAGACACACACTAGTGTTTTTGGGCTCTAATCACTCTTACAAGCTTCATATAAGTAAGTGTACCCTTCCTATCTAGTTACTTACTTAGTATACTTGTTAATCCTTTGGAAAACATCAAAAATCCCAAGAACATATGTGTTTACGGTTTGGGGATCTCCCAAAACCGTAAACACCCCAAAATGGTGTTTTGATACCCCTAACACCTTCAAATGCTTGGATAAAGGGCTAGAAACTTGCATGCATGAGCTGGAAACACCAAAAAACGAAAAGGTTGAGGCATACATGAGTTTACGGCCGTAAACCCAAGTGTTTACGACCGTA